TACAGGATGCAGGGAATCAAACCTGGACTGGCTGCATCCAAGGACAGAGTGGGTCTGTCCACTCTGGGATCTCTCCAGTTCCTATTCCTCTTCTTTTATCATAATAAGATGCATCTCCAAAAAATGGAAAACAATAAAAAAAGATTGAGCTATTAATAGTCTCATAAGTAACATTCGTCCATAGAAAGTTAAGCTAACTGATAAACCCAATACTGCTAAGGGATATATTTCAGGGCCAGAGTGATAATACAGGGGTAAGGCTCTTGGGCGAACCCGTTTGAGCCCCAATATCCCATATGGCCCACAGGGTACCATCACCAGGAGTGATCACTGCACCAGAGCAAGCCCTTAGCACGGTCCACTGTGGCCCATCCCTCCCGCAAGAATTTTTTTTTTTCTTTTTGTGTCACACCTGGAAATGCACAGGGGTTACTCCTGCTCATGCACTCAGGAATTACTCCTGGCGGTGCTCGGGGAGACTCTATGGGATGCTGGGAATTGAACCCGGGTCGGCCGTGTGCAAGGCAAATGCCCTACCCACTGTGCTATTGCTCCAGACCCCTCCCACAAAATTTTTAAGCAAATGTTATATTTCCTACTTCTTCAAGAATGTGGCATCATCATCAGCTATATACTCATATCATTTCATTTTCATTTCATCATCCTGTTAATCGTCGATTGCCTCGAGCAGGCCCCAGTAACGTCTCTTTCATCCTAGCCCTGAGATTATATTCACGGCTCTTTAGGAGAATGAGACCCATCATTGTTACTGGTATTTGGCATATTTGGTAGGCCACGGGGAGTTTGCCAGACTCTGCCCTGTGGGCAGGCTACATTCGATAGCCTGCAAGTTTGTCCAAAGTAGGAATGAGGTAATAAGATGTCATAATAAGATGTAAAAACCGGGAGCTGGTTTTTATAGTCTCTGAGTCTTGGCCGCTGATGGGATTACACGGCGCCAGGGGGCCAGGTGGTGGGTGTGACCCCCGCCTACTGGAATTTGGAGGATCTGGGTGGAAGATGCTCGACTCCAATTCGAGTAGGCTTGGAGGTCTCGGCCCTGGAACCCGCGTGGCTTTGTCCCTCTGCCAGTACCTTCATGTGTGCGGAGAGTGGTCTCAGCATGGTGGTGGCTGGTCCTGGAGGTCTTCGGCTGCCGTAGCCCTGGTCGGGGCGGGGAGGAAAGCTCGACCAATACACTAATTGTTATAATGAAAAAAATCTGATTTTACATTTAGAATGTTATAATCACATGGTGTGCAATACGTTTAAGTACATTTTTGTTGCAGTGAAAAGTGACACTTATGACCCTGATACCTAAAACCATACTATATCAGAGCAGAATTCTGTAGGTGAGGATTTCTCAGTGTCGTAGCACTAATGACTTCTGGGGCCTGCTAGTTATGATGAGTGCTGTCTAGTACAACAGAGGATGTTAAGTCACTATCCCCTACCCTGCTTATGACACCAAAAACATCACCAGGTATTGCCAAATGTTCTCTTACTATCACTCTGGCCGTGAGTCCCAAGTTGAAAAACACTGCTGTAGAAGAAGGAATAGCAATAAAATTTAAATTGTTCACTATTAAAGAGGTAGTTTACTTTTTAAAAATGGATGGTGGTGGGAATCAAAACAGCAGGATATTTAATTCTATTGAATACATTTAAAAGACCAAGTTATGGTAAGACCACACTTTTTTTTTTAACACACTGGAAATTACATTATTTGCTATTATTTAAACTTATGGGAAGAACGTTTAGAAGTTAATTCTATAAGCCATTAGCTGAATGCATCCTACAGTTCATAAAACTGGTGGGTAATGTACATTAGCATTCATTTAATCTGTATTTCCCCAAGTCCCTACAGTACTTTATTATACAGTTTATCTTATACTGCTCTAAGACTGCTCACTCCTTCTGAAGACTGAAGAACTTCTTAATACTTTTCTTGATCTAAAATTGGATTCAATCTGATATTCTCTATATCAAAGTTTTTAAGCAAATTGAAGATATTTAGATACAACACAAATATTTTTTTCAATTTCAACCTATCCAGATTGACTTTATTCTTTTACTTCCACTCTTCAAACGATGCTAATATAATTCTAAGGATTTGAAAGTCGAGAATAGTTTAAGAACTTCAAAGACCTTTTTCATACAGGGGAACAGTACCTCAGTAATCCGGTTACTAGTCACAGAAATAGTCTCTTCCTATGCCCCAATTCTCTTAGCTTAATCAGTTTACTGTCACTAAAGCCAATAAAAATCATTCACCCTAACTATAGAAACCAATCGAGATTGGTGCAGCACTTTCATAGTTTTAAAGTCCGATTTGAATTATCTAGTATCAATCAACCAGATCTATGCAATAGGAAAGACTTAAAAGGCTTGTTTGTAAAAGGATTTACCTGATAACCTTTCAGTATCTGTATTGCAAACTATAATGCCAAAGGGAAAGGGTGGGGGGAGGGGAAGGAGAGAAAATTGCTGGTCAGAGAGGAGTGGGATGGAAACTGAGGACACTGGTGATGGGAAATGTACGCAGGTGAAGGAACAGGTGTTGGAACATTGTGTGACTGAAACCCAATCATGAACAACTTTGTGACCGTTTATCTCACTGTGATTCAATTAACACATGTACATATACGTACAAAAAATTAACAGCTTCAGGGGCTGCAGCGATAGTACAGTGGGTAGGGCTGTTTGCCTTGCTGGTTTGATCCCCAGCATCCCATATCGTTCCCCAAGCACCACCAGGAGTAATTCCTGAGTGCAGGAGTAACCCCTGTGCATCTTCGGATAGAACCCAAAAAGATAAAAAATAAATAAAAATTAAAAAAAAACCAACTTCAGTTTATAGGCTGGAGAGATGGTACTACACTTGCCTAGCAAATGGCCATCCCTGGCCCAGCAACACCAGGAGTTGCGTACAGAGACAAAAGTAGCCCGGAGCATTGCTGGGGCAGGTCCCCCCTCACCCCAATAAAAATAAACCCTAAAGCTTCAGTTTGGTATAAACATGGCACCAAATTGCCACTGGGCAGCAGAGCTACCATCTGCAGAACAATGACAACACACTCCTTCCTGGGAAACCTTGAGATTTGGCTCATAACCACACTGGATGGAGTTTTCGGATGCCTGGGGGCAAACGGAACCAAAATATTGCCCAAAGTGACATAAAGTCCGGAGTTTTTCCTTTGGGTCATGGGAAGGTGTGGCGGTTGAGGGTAGGGGTAGGGTCTCCCGGGCAGTGCCTGCGAGTCCAGAAGGCCACTTCCAGTGACAAGCCTATCCAGGAAAAGGACCCAAAGGAGAGGGCCCTCTGGGCAAGAGCAGCCGCGTTTCTATCACTTGGTGCCAGGATTTGCAAAGTGCACCTTTCAGTGTCTCGGTCTGCAAGAAGAAATCACATCTAGGCTGGCCAGTGCGCCAAGGCTCTTTTCAAAGTTTCAAATATACGCTTGCGAAGAAGAAAATATTTGCCTCGACGGTGCTCCTCCGGGGGACGGTGGCCTGGAGAAGAACCGAGGGGTGGATCTGAGACCACAAAGTACTCGGTTCGGGCTTTACAGGGTTGCAAAAAAAGTCGGTAAGTCGGCAGGGTCCTGCAAAAAAATCAAAAAAGCGTCCAACCCTGATCCATCTTAGACGCTCCTACGACAACCCCCCTCCAAAAAAACCCCAACAAAACAAAGCAAAACAAAAATAACCTGTTTGCTTGCAGTCGTCTGGGGCCCAAATTAAAAAGGAAAAAAAAAAAACCTTCCGACAAATGCTGAACCGCAGAGCTCGCGTGTCAAGAGTGTGGCCCCCAACAACTTCCCCAGGCGCGGCACGGCTGCATCCCGGGGGGCCCCCAGGCGGCAGAGCATCTGCGGCCCGTCACCATAGCAACCGCCGCCGCAGCGCGCCCGGCTCGCCGGGCAGCCCCGACCCGGAAGGGCGCGGGGCGGAGGCCGGCGGAGGCAGCGATTCCCCGGCCGAGGCTCCCGCCCCGCTCACGGCTCGCGCTCCCCCACCGGCTTCTCCTGGGGCCCGGCCTCTCCCGGGGGAGCGCGGGCACAGGGGCCCCGCCGCGGGTGCCCGCCAGCCGCGCCTCCGCCTCGCCCCGCCCCCCCCCCCCCCGGCGCGCCCCTGGTCCTGTAAGGCGCGGCGGAGCTGGCCGCCCCGCCCCCTGGCGGCGCTCTCGTCCTATGAGGGGACGGAAGGCGCGCACGCGGGTCCGCCTTTCCCCAATGAGGGGGCGGGGGGAAGAGCACGGCGCCCCGCCCCCCGTTCGCTCTCACCCTATGAGAGAACGGGCAAAGCACGCCGCTCCGCCTCCTCCCCGCTCTAGCCCAATGAGGGGGCGGAGGGCAAGCACGTGGCTCCGCCCCCGGTCCGCCTTTCCCCAATAAGGGGGCGGGGGAAGAGCACGTCTCCCCGCCCCCCGTCCGCTTTCACCCTATGAGAGAACGGGCAAAGCACGCCGCTCCGCCTCCTCCCCGCTCTTGCCCAATGAGGGGGCGGAGGGCGAGCACGCCGCCCCGCCCCCGGGCGCGCTTTTCCCCCGCCTGGTCCTGGAAGACGTGGGGAGGAGTGCCCCGCCTCGCGCGCCTCCCAAGGAGGCGGGGCTGCTCCTTGAATCCGCGTTTTTTTTTTTTTTTTTTTAAATGTGATCCATTTGACTCTTTTGGGAGGCGTTTCCGCAGTGCGAGGAGCGGCCCCGCCTGGACTCCAGTCCTCCCGCAGCCGAGCCCGCGCGTTCTCCCCGCGGCCCCGCCCCCGCCCCGCCCCGCGGGCCCCCGGGAGCGAGCCGTACGCGTGCGCGCGCGGGCGGGCGGGCCGGCGGGCGGGCGGGCACGCGGGCACGCGGCCGTCGGGTCCCCGCGCTCCGTCCCCCGCCCCCTGCCGCCGCCGCCGCCGCGCTATAACTCGGCCGGCGGGGAGGCGGCGCCGCCGGAGTCGGAGCGCGGCGAGCGGCGCGCCGCGGGCCCCGGAGTTGCGCGGGACTCGCGCCCTGGCCCTGGCGGGGGGCGCGGGCGCGATGTGGCGCCTGGTGCCCCCGAAGCTGGGCCGCCTGTCCCGCTCGCTGAAGCTGGCGGCGCTGGGCAGCCTGTTGGTGCTGATGGTGCTGCACTCGCCGTCGCTGCTGGCGTCCTGGCAGCGCAACGAGCTGGCCGACCGGCGCTTCCTGCAGCTCAATAAGTGCCCGGCCTGCTTCGGCACGAGCTGGTGCCGCCGCTTCCTCGGCGGGCAGGTGGCGTTCGAGGCGTGGGGCCGCCTGCGCCTGCTGGACTTCCTCAACGTGAAGAACGTGTACTTCGCGCAGTCGGGCGAGCCCCGCGAGGGCGGCCGGCGCCGCGTGGTGCTCAAGCGCCTGGGCTCGCCGCGGGAGCTGGCGCAGCTCGACCAGAGCATCTGCAAGCGGGCCACGGGCCGGCCGCGCTGCGACCTGCTGCAGGCCATGCCCCGCACCGAGTTCGCGCGCCTCAACGGCGACGTGCGGCTGCTCACGCCCGAGGCCGTGGAGGGCTGGTCCGACCTGGTGCACTGCCCCTCGCAGCGCCTGCTCGACCGCCTGGTGCGCCGCTACGCCGAGACGCGCGACTCGGGCAGCTTCCTGCTCCGCAACCTCAAGGACTCGGAGCGCATGCAGCTGCTGCTCACGCTCGCCTTCAACCCGGAGCCGCTGGTGCTACAGGTGAGGAGGGGGGCGGCGGGGGCGCGGGGCCGGGACCCTCCCCCACCCCTTGCACCCCCCGGCTCCTTGCACCTCCCGGCGGGCGGGGATGCGCGCGCGCTCCGGGACTGGCCACCCCGTCCCACTCTCGGTTGCAGCCGGCATCCCGGGCCCTCCTCGGTGCCGGAGGTCAGAGGGGCTGCGGCACCGGTCGGTCGGTCGGTCGGGGAGACCACCACGGCGATCAGGGCGTGTACGCGGGGTAAGGGGGGTCGCACAGCGTTCCGGACGCTTTGCAGCCCCATCCCGGGTCCGCCTGCTCCGGGCCGCGGGGAGGAGAGAGATCCGCGGCCCGGGCGGGCGCAGGTTCTTGGTGCTCGCCACTTTGTTTCCAGTTGTTCCTTTGAAGGGGAGCAACTTGCACTTACTGGGGGGACGGGGGTGGGTCTCTTGACTGGTGGTGGCAAAAAGAAAGGAGAGACAGAGGGAGAGAGACAGAGACGACTCCACCCCCACCCCGCAAAAAAAAAAAAGCTGCGTTTCCCTCCGGAGAGGAGGCCCCTTGGCCGCCTGAGCCCCGGTCCTTGCAGAGCGGCGGCCACTGCGGCTGGTGACCGACCCTCCTGCCCGCGGCGGGGAAAGTTGCCCGCGCGAGCGACGCGCAAAGTTGGGGCGCTGCAGTCCCCTACCCACCACGCGCACCCCGGACGCCCGGGACGCCAAGTCTGCCCTGCACCCTCGGCTGGGGCGCTGCCTCTTTTCCTGCCAGGACCGCAGTTGCCTCGGGCCGTGACCCTTTAGCCGCGCTGCTGGGAGGTGTCTGCAGCCCCTTCCTTAGCTCGGCGGAGACCAGGGTTTCTGCACCGTCCAGTCCTCGTCCCGAGCTGCGTAGTGGGGGGCTCGCTCGGTGCATTCCCAGGCGCGCTGGCTTGACTGCCCGGGGTCCCTCTCGCTGCGCCAGCGGCTGCAGACCCAACGCTGCCTGCCCGCTCGCTCCAGGAGGGAAAATTCCTTGCAAGCAGTACTTGATTCCAGAGCTCCCAATCAGCCCCAAAGCGTGAGTCCATCTTTACGGGGATGCTTGCTCGCGTGGAAACTTACCAACCCCTACTCCACCCCTCACCGGAGCTGCCTTTTCTCTTTGGGAAATAAAAATCGTAACAGTGTCTCAGTAAGTTTCAGTGGAAAGCCTTGGCTGGGGCGCTAGTTTGAGAAGATAGTAGCTGTCACTTTCAGAGACACCCGCACTCCCACCCCACCCCACGGCCGAATTGGATCCAGCCTCTCCTAGTAGTTAGCCATATATATATATATATATATATATATATATATATATATATATTGCAGACGCCCTACCCGCTGTGCTATCGCTCCAGCTTTCATCAGCTGCTTCTGAGCACTGAAGGTTGAGAAGCAACCAGCATTAGAACCAGGACCTTTTAACTACGGTGCCCTTCTTTTTTATTTTTTAAAATAGTCGCTGCCTTTGAGAAGCAGAAACTTTGACATTTGCTGGGGTAAGGTTGGATGAATGTGCCCTGTCCTGGAACTCCGTCTGAGAAGTTAGAAGTTGGCTTGGCAATATCAATTCACTTTATTGTTGCTATTTCTAGTGTGCTTGTCTTGGTTTCTGATTCTTCCCTTAAACATATTCTCACTTTTTCTGCAGTGATCATCAACTTTAAAGTTGTTCTATGTGTATCACTTGCTGTGGTAATCTAAACTGCTACACAATGCTTCAGAATGCTGGATAGTTGGATTTATACAGGATAGGAGTGCATTTTTAATTTGGGAGGAGACATGTGTTAAAATTTTCTGAAGGACATTTATGAATTACGTTTTTAATTTAGTCTGATTCTCTGGAATCATACTTTATAGCTAGTTATATATTCTGACGGGTAAAATTGGGGTCTTTAGTACCAGTGAGTCATCCTGGAATATTTATTTTTTCACCTGATGAATAGCTAGTAGAATAAGAATAAGAAGACCCGTTTTTAGTAAAAGACAACTTCATTGAGCTCCCACTTTGTAGAATCACTTCATCTTTGATAGGAGCTGCTGAATCAAAGAAGAATAAAAACGATGGAATTGGGCTTTTAGAGTTGAATTTAATAGACACATGCTGATTTGTAAAGAATTCAAGCACACCTGAAACTTATGTTACTATGCTGTGCTACTTCAATAAAAGACAATAAAAAATGAAGTTTAATGATGATATAAAACCACTCAAATGAAAGGTGGCTTAGAATTCTGTGGTCTAGTAATAGCCTTCTCAGTCAAAATAAGATGTCATTATTTTTTGTTAAACCCTTGAGCAGTTGTAGTTACACAGGTTCCTGTAAAAATTTTAGTAGCAGGTTTTGGTAGTATTATTTAATATTACCAAACACTGTAGTAATATTAATAGTAGAAAACCCTAATTTGGCTGTTTATGTCCATTTTCTTCCAGTGCTTCAGAACTATTTTAAGCATACAAGTGTGTGTCTTACAACTGGAAGAGCAAGCCACATTTTTTTTTTTTTCCAGGAGAGGGAGCTACTTATTGAATTTTTGGACAGTTGGTAACAAGCTGTATTTTTCTTACCTGTATTGTTCAGACATTGGCTACTTTACAGAAAAAGTCATCTGAGTCGACTTCATCAAGCTATTAGTAAGAGTTCTGATGTAAAAATCATGATTCCAAAAGCAACACCAAAAAGTAACTCTTGTCATATGATAAGCAAAAGAGTTTCTTATGCCTCTTCACAGGAGACCTATAAATCACACACAGACTGTATAAGGTTATCTAGATTTATAATGGAGATTTGAGAGTAGAAAGAGACAGGAAAGTACAACTCCCACTTTCATGTAGTTATACTAGCTTTCACAGTTGTCTGACTGTAAAGAAAATTATAAGTATGATTTTAATTTTAAGTATAACATAACCCTGTGGGAAAAACTGGGGAGGAAGGCTCTGTTCATTCTGTGTTACATTATAATAAAATCAGAATGGAGGTATTAAAGTAGATGTAGTGTCACTGCTAAATTTTCTACCAATATTTGTCCTTAATCTTATTGGAGGGGGAGTGGGGTGAGGGAGAGAAGCTGTCTTATTTCTCGTAGCCTGGGCTGGTTCTTCACTTTCTGATGTGGAGAAAGTGAAAGATGAAAGTTAGCGAATGAAAGTTCTGGGTTGTTGAGTGGAGAAGAGATGGAAATTTGTTCTACCGCGTTTGTAGAACTTTAAAACGTTTCTATTCGGGTGCTTTATAGAAATTCTTTACTTTTCCCCCCTGTCCCCCTATGATGAACTATAGTTTAAACTCTTTTTTTCAAGCTTTTATTTCAGTTCTTGAAAGGACGTAATAAATGCAAAACACTTTTCAGTGCCTGATACACAATTATCACTCTATCAGAGTTAGACCTTGAATAAGGGTGTCTTTTAATGTATCTGATTACTTGTTGTAAGTTGGTTTTTAGCATGGATTGCCTTAAAAATAGTTAAATCATTGTAATATCAACCATCTCTCATACTGGTCTGGCTTGTTCTACGTTACAGGATGACTGTTTACAAATTGCTTGAAGTGTTATTTTTGTCTTTAAAAATAATTTGTATGGGAGGATATATTTTTAAGATGTACTGCCAGAGATACAGCTTTAGAAGTAAAAAATTATGACTGCTTAGCTTGATGGTTTTTCTCTCCACCCCTTGGTTCTTTTTCTTGTTGGACTCACTTGACCTAATGGGTCTTACCAAATTAGAACCTTTTCTTGTCAGCCTCGATAACCTGTGACTCAGCTTGAGAGATTCCTCATCGTGTTCTTGAGTCTGACTTTAACTGATGCGTTTAAAGTCTTCTAAAAGGGGCCAGGGAGGTGGGAATATGTTCCTACTTGGCTCTGGGTTGGCGGCCAATGCAGATGACCTTTTGTTAGTCTTCCCAACCAACCACCTTTTCCTGCACACTTAAAAAAAGATGAAAACACAGCAAAACCCAGAGACTGCCTTGAAAGAAATTCAGAATGTTCCTCACTTGTTGATGTGCATCTTGTGTGAGCTGGGTGTCCAGGAAGGTTGGTCTAGGATAGGTTGGGCTTAGGAGCGTCTGTCCTTGCAAGAGCTTGTAAAGTCTCTGGCTGCTGAAATGACCGCTTTCCAGAATTCAGGCATATTCTGAGCACCTTTTCTCTGCTAACATCTCCATGCTTTGTGTGTGTGTGTGTGTGTGTGTGTGTGTGTGTATTTTTTTCCCTCTGAAGTTTCATTGACATTTTTATTAAAAAGCGAAAGATAGTGGCCGGAGTGATAACACAGTGGAGACACCATTTGCCTTACATGCAGCCAACCTGGGTTCGGTCCCTGGCATCCCATATGGTCCCCTGAGCACTGCCTGGAGTCATTCCTGAGTGCAGAGCCAGGAGGAACCACTGAGCATTGCTGGGTCTGACCCCAAAAGCAAAAAATACAATAATAAAATAATACTGACGGTCCCTGGGTTCAAAAAGGAGGGCTGCTTTTATTTCGGGAAAATTCTAGAAACAGGCACCCTTAAAGAAGGTCCACTTCAGGTCAGTGGAACAGAACTGCTTGTTTTCTGAATGTATCCCAGTCTCTTGGCCTTTAGTACTCTGAAACCCCTTCTGTACTCTCGTCAAAGTTTCAGACTATGGAAAAATTACTTTTGCATAAGGATTTGCTTTTTGGAAGGGGTGACTACAATCTTAGGCGATCTTCGGACGGCTTTTTCTTCTTTTTTTTTTTCTGGCTTATGGTCTCACCCTGACCTACTTCTAGTACCGCTCTCATTGCTGCTGACTCTTCAAAAGTGCTGACATTTTTTGCTTTTGCTTTTCTCTCATTATGTACATATTAAACTGATAATGGCCTTACAATGTCAACTGCATTTTTTTAAACACAGGCAGTAAACTTTGGTAGATGATTGGTAAATGTCTTCATACTAAATTACTAGTTTAAGATGGCACTAGTCAGTAGACCCTGTCTGGTTTTAAATTATGCAGTCATATAATTTATGCAATGTGTG